CCCAAACCCCCCCCCACAAAAACACACAAACAAAACCCCTTTAATGTTATTTTTAAAAAAAAGTGTTGTCAGGAATCTGCACAATTACATTTCAGAAAGGTGCTTTTTCTGGCAAGTTTCATGAGTACAATTTAGCAGCCATGAGTGACCTCCCTTTGAAAGAAAGTTAAAGACCTTGTGACATTTCACTTCAAAAACAAGCCCTGTAGCTTTTTGCAGTTTCATTGTATGAAATGATACCCTGCATGCTGATCCTCACTTGTAATGGAATGCCAGAAATGCATGGCAGCACCTAATAAGTAAAGCTGATTAACTATTTATTTGTCGATGTTATTATTTAATGAGCTTTCACATGTGATTTTTTTCAAAATGTTAATTTTTATGTTTTACAGCTTTTTCATGTGCTTGAGTATTTTCCTATATGATTTGTGGTTGATCTAGAAATATGGGAATACATTTTGTAGATATGTAAAATAAATATTTTAGTCTCTTGTTATACATGTTTCATGAACTTTATCAATTATATGGATCTTTTAAAATCAATATGATGCTTTGTAAAGATGAAATATGTAATGCTTTCCTGAATCTGTGCAATCAGAAGGTGATTTGACCTTCAATTTCATCTATTTCTTAAAAAAAAAAAAAAATAAACACTCTTAAAAGTTACTTTCCTTGCCTCTAACATGCATAAAAAGATACATGGTTGCAAAAATTGCAGACTTACAAGAGTAATTGATTTTCTCAAAAAGTCCCTTTTAAGTTTTGGCAGGAATTTCTGTAGTGAGAGAGAATAAAATTAAAGGTACTCCATCCATTCAGTAAACAGATGACTGAAAAAGTTGGGTGGCAACTCAGTAGAGTTATAACAAGAACATCAGATTCATATGTACTGTGGATGCCAAATCTGCTACACATTACAATCACCTAAAGGAGAATTTATAAAACTCAGTGGCCAGATTGCAATCTATATGAATTACATCAGAATCACTGGGTGTGAACTCAATAGCAGTAATTTTTAAAGTTTCCCAAATGCAGTAGTTTGCTTTTATATAGCATTTCCAGCCATGGCCTTCCACCAAATGATTGGGTGGTACTATACAAATAAGGTGCTTGTGACCCTCCAAGGGGATTTGCTTGTCAATAATGCAAATAAGATACACAGCACCCTTGTAGGGGTGGAGGTCATACAACTAAGATGTGTGGAACTCTAATGAGGAGATTGTCAGTTTTGCCATCCTTTAGGCTTAAAATAAGGAGCTCTGGTGGTGCAGTGCCTAAGGCATTTGCCTGCTAACCAGAAGGTTGTCAGTTCAAATGCACCAGCTGTTCCATGGAGGAATGATGGGGCAATCTACTTCCTTAAAGATTTACTGCCTTGGAAACCCAACTGGGGATGCTATAAGTTGGAATCGATTTGAAGGCAGTGAGTTTGGTTTGAGAGGCTTAAAATGAGCCATCCCAGAGGTGGAAATGGGAGAATCTCACTACTAGCAAGAAAGAAGAGCTAGGACCTAGGATCTGTGTGCTGAAGAATATCCTAGGCCAAGGAACTAGAGAGGGAGAGAGCTGTAACATCAGAGATGGTGAGAAGCAGCAGCCGAGAAACAGTGGCAACAGAGACAGCAGAAGCAGGAAACCAGCAGGGGACAGTGAACTGGGCTTTCCATGGAGCAAGGTGGTTACAGGGGGTGTGCCAACCCACAGAGCAAGAGAGCTGAACACCTTTGGGTAAGAGGCTTCCTAAAGGTGGAATGGGCCTCTGGGCACTTGTTGATGGAACTAGGCATGCCAACCCACAAGCTAGAACTAGAGCTAGAGCACAGAGCTAGAGAGCCAACCTCGGGCTGAGGTTTACTGGCAGAGTGGGGTGCTTCTGGAAATGGTGGAGTTAAAGGCCTTTGTAACACTTGTCCTAAGATGGGCAGAAGCCAGGTCAGCCCAAGAGGCTAGAGGGGTTGAGAGATCAAGGGGTGAGAGGATAATGGCTAGAGAGAGACCTGTCTGTGGGCATAGCCAGGATATGTCCTGACCTAAGAACTGTAGCCTGAGTGGTTCCTGCTCCTGAATCATAATCTGTTACTTCCTAATAAATCTCATAATTGTGAGTATTGTCTGTGAGTTCTCTGTGAGTATTGCAACAAATTATGAAACTCAGCAGAGAAGTAGAGAGTGCCATGGGAGGGACGGCATTCAGCTGCTAACCAAAAGGTTGGAGGTTCAATCCCACCAGGTGTTGTGCTTGCATAACAATTTGCAACCTTGGAAACTCTACAAGGCAGTTCTTCTCTGTGCTATAGTGTTGCTATGAGTTGGAACTGAATTGATGGAAGTGGGTTTGATTTTGGTTTTTAAGAGCCGCATATTTGAGGCACAAAGATTGATCCTTATAGTGGCTTTCCACAACTCAGAGGATTATTTATAAAACATTAAAACAAAGGTTTTGTTGATGATAAAACTATCACCGATTTGATCGCTAGTGTTGTATTAGCAAATACTTGAAGAATGTTTAAGGAAAAACAAAATACAATAACGAAGCTTCTCTAATGAGAAATCAAATGAAATTTCTCTAGTTTCTACTAAATTGAAAACTGGATCTATTTCTCGCGGTCACATTTAATTTACTGATCCATTTCAACTGATCTGTTATAACAGAGATGCGTTCATTGCTTGGTATTTAACATCAAATGACAGGAAAGGTCACCAATCAATAGAAAAGCCTAGGACAAAATTAGGCTCCCAGTGAAGTAAAAATTACAAGTCAACAGAAGGAATAGCTTTCCAGTTAGTATTTTAAAATGCTAAAAAGCACTTGCATGTGATTATCAATTATGTTCTATATGGCATTTTTCATGTAGCCCAATCTGATTAAATTCTACATAATTTTATCATCACATTAATAACTATCACTTTAAAATGATGAATTATGATAATTTTAGCAGGAATTGAGCTCTACTTAACATTTACAGTATCTATCCATAAAGGATTTGACTATTTTGGCTACTATGGATATAGAGAATTTTTTCAAGTGGTTTTATACATGGATATCTTGATATATAAGTTGATATATATTATATATGATATATAAACTGATATATACATATGTCCCAATAACAAGAATAAAAGAGAAATGAATAGCAAAAATATGAGTGAATAATACACAGTGTGCTAAACTCAAACTCAACTCACTGCAGTCCAGTCTTTTCCGACCTCTCCTTGGGTTTCCAAGGCGATATCTCTACAGAAGTAGATTGACCAGCCTTCCTTCTGAGGAGTAGCTGGTGGGTTGAACTGCTAGCCTTCTGGTAGCAGTCAAATACCTTAGGCACTATGCTACCAGAGCTCCTACATAGTGTGCTAGTCCTAAGGTAAATATTGACATGGAACTTTTTAAAAACATAGTTATTTGCAAAAAAGTGAATATATTATAGACAGATCACATTACATAATGGAAAAATTGTGTTCTAGTGGCACAGTAGTGTTTAGTGGTGGTTTGTAGGGTGAGTGATACAACAACAACTCCTGGAAAAACCTTACTAATTTGATATAGGGCTGGAAAGGGTGAACATTTAGTCTTTTATGAGAAAAATAGCCCTTTAATTTTTATTGATTTTTCAAAAGATACACAGATAAGCATAAGCATGAATAATTCACAACTATATTAACTATATTAATTAGAAATCACTTATATTATTAATTCATATTACAAATAACCACTAATTGTCAATATTCTGCTAGTTATGCTTATCTGTGTATCTTCTGAAAATCAATAAAAATTAAGAGTTATTTTTCTTATAAATCACTAAATGTCCACCCATTCCAGCCCTATATCAAATTGGTAAGGTTATACCAGGAGTTGCTGCTGGATCACTCACCCTACAAACCACCACTAAACACTACTTTGCTACTAGAACACCATTTTCCCATTATGTAATATGATCTTGAACATGTTTACTTCAGACACATTGGGTGGAATAGTCATTCCAGGCAATTGTGAGTAGAGAGAATATTTAATAGTAGCAAGATCAGGAAACTTCCAAGATGCTGAGTAAAATTAAAATCTTTGAAAGTTTAGATTTTATGTTTCTTTCTTTTTTTTCTTCCCATCACAATACAATTTTAGGTATAAATATAATTCTTTATATTTGGAATTAAAGCATCATTTGGATTAGATCTGTCTCTTGAAGATATTTTTAGCATCAAGGTGGTCTCAAATTCTCAAAACCAAACTTACTGCTGCCGAGTCAGATCCGACTCAGTAACCCCTACTTGGGTTGCTGAGGCAGTATCACTACGGAAGTAGATTGCCCCATCTTCCTTCCAAGGAGTGGCTGGTGGGTTTGAACCATCAGCCTTCTGGTTAGCAGTTTAATACCTTAGGCACTACACCACCAGAGTGATAAAGCCCTGCAAATCTTTAACTCAGCATTTATATGCTTCATATAGTAATAGAGTTCTAATAAAAAATGAAATGTATGACAACTCTTTGATGGCATTTTTGGAGATATTCAGGAGTTCAGTGGGAAATGATTTATGGTCCTCAGTGCTACAGAGTAGCATTTTTTGCTAGAATATGTGTCTTTCTCTAAAAAGCAGATGACTACCTGTTTGGTCTCATTCCAAACCAAACCAAACCAA